AAACTGACATTTCCCAGTCCAGGTAATTAAAATGGCCAATCCCGCGTCCCGAAAAATACCCGTTCCCCCCTCACAAAATTGTACTTTCGTGTACGTCGCCGATACGAGTTTAGCAGTTAGCGATACAGATACAAACTAAAACATATAATCTCAAAAATAGTAACCCTGCGATGGCTATTTTCGTTAGTGGAAGTGTATATACATGCGATCGCAAATGAAAATTTTTAATAAAAATATTCATTCAAACTGCTCATGTATAACTTCAGCTAGCCATTTATACAACGAAAAACGTAGTAACTATATCTGTGCTTTCATGCAGTGCAGGCTATTTATATCGTAACTAAAGCTAAGGCTTACGATAGTCAAAGGAGCTTCTACATCGTGGCACTTTCTGTAGGACATGTAGAATCGTTGGTTCTCGATCGCGAAGTTGATTCCGGGCCGCTGACAGGCCGTAATGTTGCTGAACGGATTATCGCAGATGCCCGTGAACTGTGTCTCGTACTCGTACGCGAACTGCCACACCCCTTCAAAGCTTTGCGCGGCAGCTCTGATATGTCGATCCAGATCTACGGAATTAATTCAGATCACCAGATCACGCGGTTAATTCATTTTCTTTTCGATGTGTGTGCCTTCCGTTCCGTTACACACAACCGCCACGCGTACGCACACGCACACGCAAGCGCGTACATACACAAAGCACACGCTCACACGCGTACGCAGGCGTACACACACGCAAACGCACACGTACACACGCTCACGCACACGCACACGCAAGCACGCGCGCACACATACGCACACATACCACACACATACATGCATATACATGCATATACATACACAGCGCGCTTGTCTCTCTTCGTCATTCCTGTACGAAACCCTCCCACTCTCGCTCGCGTCTCTCTCTCTCTCTCTCTCTCTCGCGTGCGCATATCCCGCGGAACTGCGCGTCTCATCCGCGCGCAGCGCTCAGGATCAACAGCAAATTAGCTGTGCCACGAAATCTTGTATCATGTCTCTCTGGGTATAAAAACAACTGTTATCATTGACAGCATTTATCGCTACAGAGCAGTATAATAGGACAATGTCAGTGGCAACGCTGGTAATTGGTAAATAATGGAGGCCAGGTGTCTCTAGTACGAGATACCAGTACCTGGTACCAGGTACTTGGCCATAATCACGGGCATTCATTCTACATGTTTCATTACTGTTATATTGAGATTAGCTCTCGAGTGCTATATAGCCCTTCGTTGCCACGACGCTGTGCAGGCAGTGCCTGTGGCAACAGGGGCTACAGTAGGCCTATATTAGAGCAATATTGAGATATGCCTATATATATATTTTAATTCAGGAAAATTTAACATGGTGGTCATATCTTACTGGTCATACCTTTCCCAGTTTTTTAATTATATATTTTCATTAACGTTTTCCTAAATATGTCTTATGTTTAGACGAAAGAAAGAGACTCAAGGAGGATGCTATTCCATCTATTTTCCCCTTCAACGATCCTCAGCGTTTTTCATCTCTTCGTAAAGACCGGGCTAAACGGTGTCGTCTCACTGCTAACTCTACAGAAACAGTAGAGCTTCATGTGCCAGAGGTTGCTGAGGAACTAGAGCTTGATTACTCCCCGCTCGAAGAGGATTCTCCGAAGGTGAACCACAGGACCGACAAGTCCTTCAATCCCGACCGTGCTACAATTTGCTCAAGGAATTTTGAGGAAAGCTGCTTTTCGACAGGTATGGCTTGTATTTTTATAGTTTATTGGTTAATTATTCGTTCAGTTTCATATTGGCCTTCTATTATTAGCTCATCTGCTTGTAGAATCGCATGATCGTCCGTGCGTGCGTCCGTCCGTCCGTGTGTGCGTCCGTCAACAGTTGGGCACAAATCTAAACGGCTCGACGTACGGATTCGAAAGTCGGGACGTGGGGGGGTAATCCGAAAACGAATTGGGATGTTGAAGCTGGGGGTCAAAGGTCAAGAGGTGTAAAATACTTTTTTGTTAAGATTTTTTTTCTTACACGTTATATCCATTGGGCTTGATATACTACGCATATCAACTTCCGCATCAGACTCTGTATATCAAGGAATGATGCAAAAAACTCGAACCCGAACCCTAACACTAACTATAAACCGACTCGGCTTATATACTATCTTTGGTATCCCAAACACTATCTATGGTGTGGTCAAATCAATGAATATCAGGAGTAGATAATAGGGAGGAGTGTGACATCAATAAACAAGGGAAATTCGTCATTTACTAGCTTTATAATACCTACGATTTACTACGCGTAACTCATCTAACTTGAGCTATAGAGAAATAGAATGAAGTGTAAAATTTTAATTTTCAAGCTTTTGAGAGTATGTCTCTTCATCAGGCTATACAATGACCTATTATATATATATATAAATATATATATATATTATAATATATTATAATATTATATATATATATATAATATATATATATATATATATATATTATATATATATATATATATATATATAGTATAGAGAGAGAGAGAAGAGAGAGAGAGAGAGAGAGAGAGAGAGAGAGAGAGAGAGAGAGAGAGAGAGAGAGAGAGTTCATCAG